GTAATGATTTGAAAGAAATATTTCACTGAAATAAATATACTAAAATAAAACGCAGGTCTGATCGAAACAACGATTTATAATCAACTAACTAAACACAAATCCTTTTCTAACAAAACCCCAAAAAGAATCATTTGGTGATTCAGCCGTTTTATCAGTACTTGGAACATTACACAACGCCTATTGCTATCGGCAATCAACGTCATGTACATGGCGAGTATTCCTTAAATTTAAAGATCGCCTACAGTCGGCCAAACCTGACGGTCTTTGCGCCCCGCAAAGTCTGCTAATGTTGACGGTTATCTGAAACATATCAAAGTCAAAAATTTTAAACTGTAATATTAATATTCATTGTGAGTCTTATTCATCCTCTTCGGAAGAATCAGAACCCACAATAGTTCTATAAGCCTTAAGCTTATCAGAAGGACATATTTCTTTATATGCCAATCGAGCACGTTTTGCCCCAGGCATATCTTCTACCACGTACCGATCGTTATCAAGTACACTAGTGATCACGTAAGGCCCCTTGTATCTAGGCTCGAGCTTCCTACTTTTTCCATCATTTGCACTTTTAGGTGCCTTAACGAGCACTTGTTGCCCGACTTCGTAAGCACGGGGTTGAGCGTGTCTCTTATCATAGGCCCGTTTCTGAACCAGTTGCTGTTCGGCAGTCCGGTCAGAAACCTCCTTTCTCAACTCGCTCAACGCCACAGGCTCGTCTTCGCATACCTCAGCGCTAAGGAATGCGTCACTAACCCCTCGCGGGCGATAACCTAAAAACACCTCGTAAGGCGACTTTCCGGTCGTTGTATTAACCGTTGAATTAATACCCCACTTAATTTTTGGAACTGTGTCATCCCAGCGCTCTTCTTCCTCCGTGGTGGAAGTCATAGCACTGAGGATAACGCGGTTCATTCGTTCCACCTGGCCGTTTGCCCGTGGAGTAGCAGTAGCGCAGAGTACATGCTTGATGTTTACGTTACTGCAGTAGCTTTTAAATGCAGCACTAGTAAATGCCGTACCTCTATCGGAGATTAAGCGCCGTGGAACGCCAAACTCTTCTATAATACCATCAAGAAACTTAAGCACGGGGTTAGTACTTGTATTTTTAACGGCCTTCATGAAAACAAATTTGGTTAAGCCATCGACAGCGACAATGAGATATCTGTTTTTCTTTCGGCTCTCAACAGAAGGTCCTAGATGGTCGAGATGAAGCGTGTCCATTGGAATGTCCCGCTTGTCTATGGTGTAAAGGCTTCCAGGTACCTTACCTGCCGGTTTCTTGTTGTACAAACAGCCTAAACAACAGGAAATATAATTCCGTACATAATTGCGCATGGCCGGAAACCAATAACGCTTCTGAATCGCTTCAAGAGTTTTATCGACGCTAAAATGACCAGCTCCATCATGGTACCAGATTAAAATGTTACGCCTTGCTGTCTTTGGCACTACCCACCGTTTACCTTGTCTTGTTATTCGATAAAGGCGATTATCCTTTAAGACGTATTCCTTTTGGACGGTAATATCTTCAGAGGTAATTGGCCCTTCGGTCAATATCTTATACACCTCGCGACACCGTTTGTCTGTGAGTTGAGCGGATAATATCCAATCATCTTCGCTAACATTCACATGTAATATGGGAATTTCCACAGTTGCATCTTCATTTCGGACTGAATTTCTACTAAGAGCATCTACATGACTCATTTTCGAACCGGGCCTGTACTCGATCGAAAAATCAAACTCTTGTGCAGTTAACCACCAACGGCCTATCCGTGGTATTAAATCTCTTTTCGTCATTGTGGAACGGTTTGCATTACAATCTGTCACAATTTTAAAGTGAATACCAATGAGGTATACCCTGAACTTTTTCAAGGAATTGACCACGGCCAGCGTTTCTAGCTCGTAAGAATGGAATTTTTGCTCGTCTGGTGTAGTTGCTCTACTAAAATATTGAACTGGTTTTAGCTCATGATTTGGTTGAAGCTGTAGCAATATACCACCTATACCAATCTTACTGGCATCTGTGTGGAGTTCGGTTGTCGCCTCGCGATCGTATATCGCAAGTATCGGTCTTGTGGTAAGCTTTTGCTTTAAGTCATTAAACGAACGTTCTTCGTTTTCTGACCAAATAAAACTTGTCAAATTAGTTAGAGGTTTTGCGATTACAGCAAAATTTTGGATACATTTTCGGAAATAGCTACTTAATCCAAGAAATTGACGGACTTCGTGTACATTTTTGGGAGTGGGGAATTTGGATACTGCTAATATCTTTTCATCTCCGGGTTTTATGCCATCACCACTAATTTCATGACCCAAGTAGGATATAGTAGTTTGCAAGAAGATACACTTATCTAGTCGCAACGTCATGCCAGATTGCTCTATAAGCCCCAAAATGAGGTCCAAACTTTTTAGACCGTATTTAACGTCAGAGGATGGTATTAAAATGTCGTCCAAGTATGCGAGCGCGGTGGTAAAGCGAAACGATCCAAGAATTTCGTTCATCGTTCTTTGAAAAACGGCCGGTGCATTCGCTAACCCAAATGGCATTCTTAAATATTCGTAGTGGCCATCCGGTGTGATAAAAGCACTTTTTGGAATATATTCATCATCTAGGGCTATTTGGTGGTATCCTGATGCTAAATCTAAACTGGAGAAATATTGGCATCCTTTGAGTCGGTCTAGAAGGTCGTCAATTCGTGGCAATGGGTACTTATCTTTAACGGTTTTTCGGTTAAGAGAGCGATAGTCAACACACAACCTTGTTTCTCCATTCTTCTTTTTGACTAACAGGATTGGGCTTGCATAAGGAGAGTTCGATTCTCTGATAACCTCGTTGTCAAGAAGAGTTTGTACTATTCCGCGGACTTTTTCTCGCTCAGAATAGGGTAGACGATATGGCCGATAGGTGATAGGTACGTCATCGGTTAATTTTATAGTCATTTTAGTTGTGATACTTTTACCAAGTTGACTAATATCTGTGGCAAAACAAGCACGACGCGAGTTGATTATTTTAAGTAACTTTTCTTTTTCTATTTGGCTTAAAGCATCGTTTACTTTAATATCAGGCAAAGTCAGATTATAGAGTGGAAGAGATGTAGTCGCCAGTACATGCGAGCAATACACATCATTATCAGAACTGCAGGTTAGACCTCTCGCAACTACGGTGCCCTTGGCGTACTCCACTGGTTCATTTTCAGCTCTTTTGTCCCTATTCTTCTTCCAGCAGTTAGCTATGTCATGACCAAAAAGATGGCAATGCTTGCATTCTACCTTCGCCTTTAGACATTTTGCTGCGACGTGGCCCCTTGTACCACAATTAAAACATCTAACGTTTTTCACAACTTTTCCTTTAGGAACGTTTTCCATAGGAGAAGCTCTTACATCCACAATCTTTGATGAAGTTGATGGCCTAACGTATTTAGACTCCTGCTTATTAGTTCCAGTAGCTTCCTCGTGAACAGCTGACAAAAATTCTTCATATAATGTTTCCGGATCACTATAACGCCCTGCACGAGCTGCATGTTGCATATTCTTTTCAGGCAAGCCATCGATTAAACATGAGACGGCGTTTTTCTCCATTATTTTGCAACTTCTGAGTAGCTGCATCTTCTCGAAGTAATACGTGGTCATAGTCTCATTGATTTCCTTCTTTCTGTCCAGCATTTTCCGGAGCAACCCTGCGTAGTCGGTGTGATCTGGAAATGACTTGATAATAAGACGCTTCCATTCGACCCAAGTATAGTTGTAGTCAGTGAGACTATGATACCACGTTTTGGCATTTCCTACAAGTCGTGACTGAACATGATAAATGGTAGCCACATCGTCCCATCCATTTATTTTTCGTAGCTGATCGACTTTTTCGAGCCATTTTGTAGCTGTTAAATTGGGATGGTCCGGCGAAAACTCGGGGATGCAGTCGCTTCTCACGCTTACTCTTGGAACTTTTTCGGCATCGGCATTCTTGTGTATTATATTCTGAACTAGCGTTTCTAGTTGTTTAATCTTGCGGTTTGCTCTTAATAAGCCATCGCTTTTAGCTGGAGAGCGTGAGCGAGAGTCGGAATCATCAGACGAACTTTTTCTTCTTGGCGTGTATGACCGTTCTTCCGCCCTTTTCTCGCATACTACCTTTTCTGTACTTCGTGTTCGATACCTTTCTTCTGCAGTGTCGCTACTGCTTGAACTCGACGAACGGTATCTTTTGCGTCCTAATTTTAAACGACCCATATTTTTTTTTTTCACGTTTAGGACACCTTTTATGTCCACAAAAAGAAAATCAAATAAATTGTTCTTAAACAACACCGAAAATATATTTTTTTTAATCTAATATGAAACACCTTGTATGTCTGCACGTAGATTGCACCTCACACCTGAACTGTAATCGACTGTAATGATTTGAAAGAAATATTTCACTGAAATATACTAAAATAAAACGCAGGTCTGATCGAAACAACGATTTATAATCAACTAACTAAACACAAATCCTTTTCTAACAAAACCCCAAAAAGAATCATTTGGTGATTCAGCCGTTTTATCAGTACTTGGAACATTACACAACGCCTATTGCTATCGGCAATCAACGTCATGTACAGGGCGAGTATTCCTTAAATTTAAAGATCGCCTACAAATAATTGAATGGAGCAGATTAAATTCCTCAGAAACAACCTTACACAGTTACCACATATCAAAGCAGGAACAAAACATTTTAAACTTTAAATACTTGAGACTTTATTTCTCAATTTAAGAGTCAAAAATTTCTAGGGTGTTTCTTTTATCATATATTTTTAATTATTTGTAATTTCCATTTCATAGAAGAATTTCCATCACAGAATTTTATCCCTCCCTAGTGAGAATAAAGTGTTTTATTCAGAGTTTGGTCTTATTACCTTTTTGATTTTACTAGTGAACTTTCCTATTTTCTCTATATTTATTTAGAATGTTTTCTTCTTCTAAATCCTAATTCAGAGGTAAACATAAGTATTTATGTACTGTTTAATTGACAGGAAACGTGTTGTATTTACCCCGAAAAATCGTAGACACCACCAAAACGTTTATGGCTAAATTACCCGGCCCAGACGGAGATGAAGAAATAGCTGTTACGATAATCTACAAAAGAAAGAAGAATCTAGCAGAAAGGGAATGTCTTCATCTCTATAATGTTTTATTCAAACGCATCATGCATATTCTTTTGTACACGCAAATGGGACGAAATTATTTTGATACCAACCACAAGTTTCTAATTCCTCAACACAAGTTGGAAGTATATCCCGGATTTGTGGTAACTGTTGACGAACTAGAAGATGGTTTGATGTTGTGTCTCGATACACAGCACAAAGTTCTTAGGACTCAAAATGCTTACGAATTATTGGGTGAATTGAGGTAAGTTATGTTTTTATTTGACGTCAATGATTTTAAAGTCTATTAGGATTGGCCAATCCCATGTACATATTATTGTAAATTTCACTATGTGAAGTCAATGCCGGACCACATGTCTACAATTATTTTTTGTTTTGTTTATGCCTTTGCAGATGTTTTAGGTAGTTTGTGGATTAATTGTATCTTTTTATTGACTGAACTTTTTTTTTTGTTTTTTCGATATTATTTTGTAAAATCAACTTAGTTGCAGTTGTATATAGAAGAAGGTACCGATATAACTTTAAAAAGGGAAGAACGGAGATTATGGATGGATGTATGTTTGAAAGAACACACTGAAATTTTAATATATTTTCAGATTGCTGTAGGTCGTTCTTAAGATTCCCAAAACATAAGACATCTATGATAAAACCTTTGGGACCTGGTTTGCTTGTATTGAAGTGAATACTAAATGGCGTTCGCTAATACAGAAGAGGAACACAGTAACGATATTACCAAGTAACAAGTCGGTAGGGCGCTACGCACCAGTGACTCGCCTGTAACTGGTGTAAGAGGTTTTCTTATCGTTGACACCTTTCTTCTGAAAATTACTCGGGCGCCATCTGTATTAATGTGATTTGCTCTACGACCTTATAAGGTGTCAGTCAAACTAGACTCTACCCAAGTCTCTTTTGACTTACACCTCCACCTGAGGCTACCCGCCTCAGATGGAGATACTGGAATTCCAGAAAACAAGTTGATCAGATTATTAGTCTCAGAGGGTAACAATAACGGGCTTTAATCGTTACTGTTACACTAGAAAATTTTAGGAAGTCCTAAAGAGAAAATAAGGATTGCTTACGAAAGCTATTTATAATTAAATAAAACATATTTTAAACCCACTCCGGTGAATCCCTTAATGAAACAAACATACCAAAAAGAATACGATCGGAAAATGTCAATGGTCTGGGATCTCAATTAGATTATAGTAATGACAGTAAAAAATAAATCAGAGGAAGTAAATAATAATTATCGGAGACCAAATATACAATGTATGACAATAATTTAATTTTTATGGTCCTTTTTAGATATTTAAGTAAAGAGTTATATATTTAAAAACAAAATTCCGCATTAAAAACGAAAATTTTTGACTAATTTCTAAATAGGTTAACAACGCAGGGAAAGGAAACCACCATCACCATATAGAAAGGAACAAAGTATTTATACTCATCAGTTTTCTAATGTATTTCCCATCTTCTCATACTGCCGTGTTAAGAAAGAAAGCTGTATGTACATTTTTGGCCAAAATGAATTCTTGTTGTTTTCATAATATATAGGTATGCAGTAAATTTATGTAAATGATTAAATTCATATTTTTATCTCAATAATAAGATACACAAAAAACAGTTTAAAAAATTTCAAATAATCTCACTACATTTTATATATTCATATATTTTATTTGTCTAAAATGCCGTTTGTGATGAATCAATAATATTAATATTAGCTAAGAGAGCCGCATGTGAACACTTGCGGCATTTTTTGATAATATTCATTTTATTTCCAATAATATATCTTGTCGTGTGTATCTAGAAATATTACAATAATTTTGAATTACATTCAGATACTCCTGAACATAATACGAGACTGAAAAATTTAATAAAAATGTCCTTTCATCGATCGACGAGGACACAACAATCTATAAATTACTTGTATAATTAAACTTTTGAATCATTTGCCAGCAAACATCAAACAAAAATTTTATAAAAAATATCGTAAAGCAAAAAGTCTTTTTATTCTTCTCAAGAATTCTTTGACACAAATTCCTCCCTGAATGTAGTCTTTCCTTTTATTTTGTCTATTCTTTTATTTCTTTTATATTTTTTATAGTGTTTTAAAAGTGTATTTGTTAAACATTTTTCTTTTTTATATTAGTTTTATGGTATATAAAATCAATCATACACAATTTTTTTTGTGACATGAGCTAATAAAATTATTTATTAATGTACTCGTCGTAGTTGAAACCCAATATATCTTTTAAAAAATGTTTCTGTACTTTTATTCTGAAATGTTTAAGTTATATATCGAGAAATATGTCGGCAACAAAATATTAATCATAAAATGTTAAAATAAAAACAAATTTGTTAAAAGTTTTCACATGCGAGCTTTATTTGCTAACAAAATTTTAAATCCGCTAAGCTCAAAAGCAGCAGTAACAATAGCATCTATAAAATAATTTTTTATGCCACTGTTTCGCATTCACAAAACTACCAAATCCTGTGTATGAAGTGGGAGAACAGCGAAAAGCCTTTCCAACTTATGTCCCCGATATACAGTAGAGCTTTCTTTTGTTATATATAAAAACTATCTAATGGATTGCATTATTTTTTGGAGTGTTACTTTTAGAGATAAGTTGGGGGAGAACTTAAATAGTTTCTGACTAAATCGCCTGTGACAGACGAACAGACAGATAGACAGGTGATTTCATAAATATTAATTCATTCATTATTACTACTATTATTTTCTTTCTTCTTCGATTTCGTTGTTTTTCGGGTATATTTCGTCTTCTTCCAAGAAACTGCCTGTTTCCTTAGGTAGAGACTCTTCTGTTACAACTATATTACTACTTTTCTTAATATGTGTGCTGTGCCTAATACTGTTGTTTTTTTGCAGCTGGTATGTTGTTTTGTGGTCAGTGTTACCAGGTATAGTTTTAAGAATATTTGTAAAGTTTTTATGGATTGTTCCTGTTGCTCCTATGATGACCGGTAATATTTTAGTTATTAAGCCCCACATCCTACTTAGTTCTATTTGTAGATCTCTATATTTCAGTCTCTTTTCTGCTTCCTTTTGAGTAACTGTATTATCCGATGGTATTGCCACATCTATTTTTGCCGCGTTTGAGAATCCACATCGGATGCATCTGAGATGTGAAAAATCTTTTATCACGTGATTCAGTATACGTAAATGTAATGGGACAGATGTGTCCGATGTGAATAAAAAAACGCTTGAGATGTAAAAAATGCATCCGATGTGGATTCTCAAACGCGGCAAATATAGCAGACATTTTGGCCTAGATCTTTGATTATTATATCTGGCTTATTGGCATTAATTGTTCTGTCTGTTTGTACTTTGGTGTCCCAGATTATTGTTATGCCATCTTTAGTTTCGACGTTTTTAGGAATATGGTTGTACCAATTTGTTTCCGTAATTATTTTGTAGTACTGGCATATATTATTGTGCAAGCTTGTACATACTTTATTGTGGCGGCTGATGTATTCTTTGCTGGCTAATATTGGACACCCTGTCATTATATGCCTTACGGTTTCGTCATATTGCTTGCCGATGCGACATTTTGGATCCACATCTGCTTTATGTATTCTTTTTTATGTAGTTTGTAGTTATTGCTTGATCTTGGGCTGCGGTTATTAGTGATTCGGTTTCTCCTTTGATGGATCCGTGCTTTAACCAGCTGAATGTAAGTTCTTTGTTAATATTTTCATTTTTCGTTTCTCTTGCATATTGCCCGTGCATTGCTTTGTTTGTGTATTGCTCTTCTCTCTTTTGTATAATTTTTTGTTTAATCTGTTTTTCAGTATTTTAACATTTTCTGTCACTGTATTTTCATTGTTTATATTTATATCCTCTTCTGTGTTTTCTCGGATCAGTTTTCTTCCACGTTTAAGAATTGATTTTCCCGTTACTAGCCCTTCTTCATATTCTTTTAGTATTGATATGAGTCCGTCCTCACTCTTTATTTCTATATATTTTGCTAGTTCGATAATCGTTAGTTTATAAGTTTCTTCAATATTTGTTAAACCTCGGCCTCCTGATTGGGAAGGTATAGTCTATCTACATCTGCTCTTGCATGTAGTAAGTTATGGATCGTAAGTAATTTTCTAGTTTTGGTATCTATCTTCTGAATATCTATTTCTTTCCAGTTAAGAATACCAAAGCTATAGCCTAGTACCGGGACTGCAAGTGTTCCTATTGCTGTGAATTTATTTTTACCTGTCAATTGGCTATCTAAAATCCACCAGACTCTTCTATAGTATTCTCTGGATACTTTCTTTTTCGTATTTTCGTGCTCAGTATCATCTTTTTCTTCCACTCCCACATATTTGTAGGGCGTATTTCCCTCTAGCTCTTTTATTTCCGTGTCTTTATCTAATATTACGCTTTCTGTTGTTTTTACCTTTCCTCTCTCCATGGTTATTTTTGCACATTTGTCTGTCCCAAATTTCATTCCAATATCGTCGCTAAAATCTTTTACTATTTTTATGAGGTGTTGTAGTTTTCGTTATTTTTAGCAAATAGTTTTAAGTCGTCTACATAGAATAAATGATTTATTTGTTTTTTGTCAATCTTTATCTTGTATCCTTTATTTATTTCGTTTAGTTTACTTGTCAGTGGAAATAAGGCCATGCAAAAGAGTAATGGCGATAACGAGTCTCCTTGAAAGATTCCTGACTTAATGTTAATTGATCCAATGTCAAGTTTCTCGCTTTCTATATTTAAAATCAAGTTAACTATTTTTCATGCACCCTTTTTGTTCACTGGGAAACATTTTGTTCATCTAGATGTTTGTAAATTCTTTCACTAAATATCGCTGTTATGTTTTTAGAAATCGTTGTTACGCACGTAATTGGTCTATAGTTTTTTTCTTGAGTTGTATTGGTGTTCTTGGCTATTAAAAACGTGGTTCCTTTCGTTAACCATTCAGGGATAGGTTGGTTGTTCTTGATTAAGTCATTGTATACCCTAGCAAGTACTTTATGGACAGCTGTAAAATTTTTGAGCCAATAGTTCTGAATTCCATCTGGTCCCGAGCTTTTCCAATTAGATGACTTTTGTAATATTTCTCGAACTTCTTTCTCCGTTATATCTATCCAATTCATTGTTCTTACCTTCCTATTTCTGGTGGTCTGCCTTTTTTCCATTTCGCCTCTTTTGTGTTGTTTTTCTTGTTCCCATATGTTGCTCCAAAATTTTCTCACTTCTTCTTGAGGTGGGTTGGATACTGTTATGCTTTTATCTTGTGTAGTTCGGTAAAATTTTGATGGATCTTCCACATATATTACTGGCTATTGCTGCTAAAGCTTGATTTAGCAAGTGTACTGTTTTTTTTGTCATCGGCTTCAACTGCTAAGGTTATTTCGCCTCGTGTTCTGTGTAGGCTTTGTGACTGTTTCCCAGCGCCACTTTAGGAACAGCACTGTTAATTAGAACCCAACAGTGAATAATTATTTCACATAAAATGTGGAATGTATACTGAAGCAGTTTATAATCGGGGTCATTTTTAAATTCGTGCATTCTAAGGTCCTTAGTCATTTTCCTGATTAATTGCGATGATATTCAAAGCATTGAACACTCCTAGAGTATCTAATCCTTGGATTATATAAACGATTTTGAATGTATTTTAGGTCTTCAAACCCTGATCCTCGCCGGTTTAAAGAACTGGCCACGGCAAACATTATCGGGTCTTGCGTTTTTACTCGATACAATAACAAAACTTACACCATACAGGATATCGCTTGGGACATGACTCCGCAGGATACTTTTCCTAATAGAGATGGTGAAGCGATTTCTTTCATCGATTATTACAAACACCAACACAATATAATCATTAAGGATATCAATCAGCCGTTGTTGATAAATAGAAAAAACGTAAGAGTATCGGGAAGTGCCGATAAAGTTGAGAGAATGGTGTGCTTGGTACCGGAAATAAGCTATTTGACGGGTTTGACTGATACTATGAGAAGTGACTTTAAGGTACAAAAATCGTTAATGCCGTTAGGTTAGTGATAACTAACAGTTTTTTTTTGTTTCTTATAAAGGTTATGAAAGACGTGGCGCAATACACGAGAGTAACGCCGAATCAAAGGCTTCAGGCTTTGAGAGTGTATCTTGATAAAGTAAAGAGCTCTAAAGACGCTCAACAGGTTCTAGCGGACTGGGGACTAAAAATCGCAGATGACACGTTGAAAATGCCCGGCAGACAATTGGACAATGAAGTCATATATTTCGGTAGAGATCAGCAATTCCAGACCAACAATAATGCAGATTGGTCCAGAGCTACTGGAGAAAATCAGGTATGATCAATGTAAAAATGGCGATGGTCGAGCAGTTAATCGTTTTTATTTAATTTTAGGTGACAGGTCCAGTGGATATGACTCACTGGTTGCTTTTCTTCACGGACAGAGACAAAAAATACGCCAAAGACTTTGCGGACTTGATGTGTCGATTGGGCGGCGCCATGGGTTGTGTTATAAAACAACCAAGGCCCGTAAGACTGTCCGACGATAGGACCGACAGTTACATGAAAGCCTGTCAAGAAAATATCACAAAAGATACGCAGGTAAGTCTGTCATCAATTGTCAACTGAATAAAAATATCTTTGGCCTGTTGGTTATGAAATAAAACATAATGGACCGTGATAGTGTTACATCTCTTTTTCATAACAAAAGCAAAATAACGGAAATGTCAATGGTGTCATAGTTGTCAAAATTTTAAAGGACCTCACAGTTTCCTTATGGCAAATTGCTTTTGATTGAATCTGCTGAATTTTATATATGTTGCAGTTTTTGACCTGATTAAAAGTGTCCATGGGCACAAAGTTATCCTATGACTAGATTTTGAGGTACAAGGTGTTAATAAGTGTATTTTCACAAGTTAATCTATTATCATATGACTAGTTTTTTTTGCATGGGATCAGTTGTATGAGTGTCTTCTGCTGATTTTTTTGTAAGTTAACTTAGTATTAGTCACTCTAAAGTATGTATATACTAAAATTCGTGAAATTTTTCTTCAATGACCTAACACATTAATGACTGTTGCTGGAATTTAATATTTAAATTAACTTATAAAAAAATCAGCAAAAGGCAGTAATAAAATTGGCCCCATACAGAAAAAAAACTAGTCATAGGATCATGGATTAACTTGTGAAAATACACGGCGGTGTCCTTTGGTCAGGTTTGTGGTTTGTTTACATTAAATTTATCCTAAATTATCCCATAATTTGTTGTGATTTATTTCAGAGTTTAGCTTTATCCTGATTTTTTTTGGTATAGTTTTTTCTGAATAAAAGTTTCAGTACATTCAGAAATTGTAGAATACTTTTAGACTATAAAGGCACGCCAAAAAGTAACATATAGTTACTTACTGCTGTGAACTAAATGCAGGGTCTATTTAGAAAATTGGGTGAATCCTGGTCACTACTATCACGTTCCATAAATTATCATAATCGATACATCCTGAATCCATAGATATTATTTCAATTTCAGATCGTTGTGTTCATTTGTCCGACGATGCGAACAGACCGTTATTCGGTAATAAAGAAAATATGTTGCACTCAAATACCAGTCGCCTCTCAAGTGATCAACTCTCGAACACTGTCCAATCCTCAAAAGGTTCGATCGATCGTACAAAAAATCGCATTGCAAATGACTTGCAAGCTAGGAGGGACTTTGTGGACTGTGAGATTTCCTTTCAAGGGTTGGATGATATGCGGCATCGACGTGTACCATGGAGGACCAAAAGGGGGGTCCGTGTGTGGATTCGTGGCCAGTTTAAACGAGAGTATTTCCAGGTAAGATTTCTTAGTCAAACTGCAACGTTTTTCTTATGGTTTTCTTCGTAGATGGTACAGCTTAGCTATATTTCAAGAAAAAGAACTTAGCGATTATCTCAAGAGTGCTTTCACAAAAATCTTGGAGGTATGGAAGAACACCAATGGACATTTTCCTTCCAAGATAGTTGTAATCAGAGATGGGGTGGGCGACGGACAATTGGACCATTGCAAGAGATACGAAGTCGAGCAAATGGAAAGTGTTCTAAGAGAACTGGGGTTAGATACGAAGATATGCTTTGTTGTAGTACAAAAAAGAATTAATACAAGGGTATTTTCAATAAGTAAGTATATGTCGTTTTTAAGCCTTTTGTCTTGTCCTTACATAAGGATTATCAATATGAACAACTTTGTGTTACAGGTAGAGATGGTGGTTGTGAAAACCCTCCTCCTGGCACAGTTTTGGACCACACGGTAACGCGCCGCCACCATTGCGATTTCTTCCTAGTACCCCAAAACGTCCGGCAGGGTACCGTCAACCCGACGCATTACATCGTTCTGCACGATACATGCCAACTTAAGCCAGACCAAGTGCAGAGGCTGTGCTACAAATTGTGCCATCTGTACTATAATTGGCCTGGAACTATTAGAGTACCAGCGCCTTGCCAGTACGCTCACAAATTGGCAGCCCTGGTTGGGCAGCACATCAAGAAAACGCCGAGCGCCCAGTTGGCCGATAGACTGTTTTATTTGTAGATACATTATCGTGAATTATGTTTAGGATTTTTGTTGATTTATTATAAGTTTTCATTTTTTTTTCTCGGGGTGTTATTGATATTAGTGTCGCAATTTGGTTATTTTTGCGAAGTCGTTCTGCACAGGAGTTAAAACTATTCACATAATTTTATTTCCCATTTTGGATATCGTCAGCTTCAGATGCAACTTGCTTAACTCTAAAATCGAAAATTATTCAGGAGATGCAAAAAATAACTCTGAAAGTGAAAATCTAATTAAACAAAAACAGTTTGGGAAATAATTTTATTGCTTTACTAGTAGATTATAAAAAATAATTGATATGGTCGAACAAGGGTTTTATTTGTGAAAAATCGGTAGTTAGAACATTTGCGAAATACATTTGCTGAAGGAATTATATTCTGTGAAGGAAAACAAAGAAACATATTTACAAATGTGGTAAGTTCTCATAAAACAAATTAAAATCCTTATGTATAGTAGATTTATTCCATTAAATGTTGAAACTTTTCGAGTTTAATTGGTATAGGAGTTGGACACATCAATGGCATTACGTGTGTCTTTTTTTCCACCGGTTTGTTGCAACCGTTGTTTCACCGATGCGGCCTTGAACGTTTTGTGTTGGATTCTGGTTGACCGTTGAAATAAATAACAGTTGACATACCGCACCGATGCCAACGTTGCTGCAACAGTTGGATAAAAAGACACACGTAACTCCTCTCAAGTCCAATTTTTTTACTCTTTTTTGTCAGTCTATGAGGCAAACTTGCCCATTCCTCTGTATGTCTGATTTTAAAGTGAATTCTGTTTTCATTATATTGAAGTGCTCTGATGTTAGTGACAGTCGGATCACCTGCCATTACTGCCGTTCTATGAAAGCATTGTTTCGAGAAAAACGCAGTTTAACATATTTTGTTTGGCCGCAAAACTATATACGGGGAAATAATTTTCTATGATATATTTAGAAACATGTATATGGTAATACTTTTTTAATTTTTGGAGATACGGAGGTTTTCGTAGGACGGCAGATTATGAAAGTTTTAAAAAAAGGGATGATCTAAATACTCCAGTGTGTAGGGTTTCGGATTTATGAGAGCAATTTTACAAACATTTAGGTAGTCAGCTGGAATATTTATAATTCTTTTTTTTAGTTTTCGCTCGATAGTGGAGTGCATTGAATCGCACTCTATTTGCGTCTGCCCTTTTTCTAAAAAGTTTTGTTCAATTGTGTTGTTACTCACTTGTGCGAGGTTCAAAAGTGTATTGGGAAGAATTGCGTTTCTATTTTGTCACATACATCCATCACTGTAAAAAAATACTTTTTCAATTGTAAATAATAGTAGCAAATGTGTTGTACTTCAGCATGGCTCTCATACCAGATAAAGCAATATCCATCCAATGACTGAATGTCCATAATTGTTAAGTTATGCATAAAACTTTGTTTTATAGTAAAGAGCACTAACATTAGATTTTTGGGCTCAATAGAACCGATTGCAGATCCATCGTAAAAACGTTTACACCTTTTTCCTTTCGCGTGTCCTCCTTTATTTCCTGATCTTGAGATATGTAGCATAGTCAATATTACCACTTTTGTATCCTACACATGTATCACATTCGTCCTTTTTTTTGTGAAAATAGGGCTAAATTGAAACTATTATTGAAGGTTTCAATTGATACTAAAATTAGGGTCACCTCATAATTTGCATTTATTTTAGAAATTATTAGTTTTTCAGGTTTTTTTTTCGCTCATAACATAGTTTACTAATCTTGAATAAAAAAAACTTGTTTTGTTCAAAATTTATTAAGAATAATGAAAATGAAAAATTTAATTTAATATGCTTTTAGTTCAAACAAAGTAAATTTTAAGGAATTCAGTAGCGAGTATTCCCTCCTCTAGCAGTGATAACAGCTCGCAAACGACGAGGCATGCTTTGAATCAGATTTTGGATCACACTTCGCGGAAGATTGTCCAATTCCTGCACCAGTATGTCGCGAAGCTCTCCTAAATTTCTGGCAGCCGGCATATGGCCCAGAAAACGTCTACCCATCTCATCTGAAACATATTCGATCGGACTTCGAGCAGGCTAAACAAATCGCGTGGTTTGAACCTCGTCAAGGTAAACAGAAACTATCCAAGTAGTGTGGGGCTGTGCACTGTTATGCATAAAGGTTGCGTCTTCTTCAAGAATAACCATGAATGGTACAAGAAAGTCTTCTAGAACCTCTGTCAGGTACCTATGCGCAGTCAAAGTCCCATTCTGGATAAGGACTAACTCCGTGCGAGCTTTAAAAGATGTGCCTCCCCATGACATAACTGAGCCTCCACCAAATGGAAGTCGTTCGGCAATACACGCTTAAGCATATTTCTCGCCTCGTCTTCGACATACTCTTTCTTACACGTCTGTCTGTGTCCGTAAGATAAATTCGCGGTTCATCGGAAAACAATACGCGATTTCAATCCTCTATTGGCCAAGCCAAGTGTTCTCGTGTAAAATTCAACCTTGCAATCCGGTGTTCACGAGAAAGCGGCGGTCCAGTAGCCCTAGTTCTAAGAAGATAATCTAGCAGCATGACGTCGCCTCCTACCTGTTCACTCGCTTAGAGTTCCATCAATTTATTAATAAAAAAAATATAGAACGGCACATTTAGACCCAATGTTCAAGACTATGTGGGCCTTACAAATAAATGTTATAATATCACTGAAGAAGAATTATGTACTTAGTTATAATACTAATAATACTACACAAAATTAGTACAAATACAGTAACAATATCTAATATCACACTATTTAAACCTGAAAATGTCAACTAACGTTTTTAAGTTTTTTTTTTAAGAGGTCAGTAGTCTTTATGATGCTTGGAAGATCATTGTACTGTCTTTGACCATCCGATTGTATGGTTCGGTCACCCAAGCAGGTTCTTGCAGCTGTGGTTCTGTAGCAGAAGTTGTTCCTGGTATTGTATCCACGAGTGTATTTAAGATATAAGTCAGGTATGAATAAAGATGTCTGATATTTAGAGAGGGACTGAATGTCTAAAATATTATTTGGACGATACCAAAGATCTGTAGGATGACAAAATGGAAGTTGAATTTTTTTTCTGATAACCCTATTCTGTAGAATTTTCAAGAGGTTTAATCTATTTTGGGAAGTTTTGCTGTGATGTGAATCGATTAGTGAATGATATAGTCTTTCTTAAGTCAGCTGAAAGATAGTAGGCAACTCGTAACAAAACTCCAATGGCGGGACTTTTTTTTGCACAATTGAGTAATATGATCTCAGTTGAGCTTGGAATCTATATACAAGCCAAGATATTTAATGCATTCTGTCCCAGTTAACTGTTTATTGTCTACATTTATTTGAAATTGGTTCGATTAAGGCTTTTTTGATATCATTAAAAAATTTGACTTTTCAGTATTCAATGTTAATTTATGAGACTTTAACCATTCAAAAATTTGATTTAGATCTTCCTCTATAATATTCTTTATTTCCTCTGGATCTTTTCCAAAATAGATGAGGCATGCGTCATCAGCATATAGTTGCAGAAAACCAACCAACTAATGGTAACTGAACTATTGAGTTTATATAAATCAGGAATAACGTTGGTCCAACAATTGACCCCTGGGGTACACCATATTGAAGATCGGCCATTTTACTTGAGATATCTCCATTACTTACAAACTATGTGTGACCATTAAAATAATCTCTGAAAAGAGACAACGCATTTCCTGCAATTCCATGGTCTTCCCAAATAGATAACAGTAGTGGAGTGGTTAACAGTATCAAACGCCTTCTTTAAGTCGAGTGAAACAATGATACATGCATTGCCTTCATCAACATGATGTCTGATGTTGGTAATCATATCTGTAACTGCTGAAGTTGTACTACTTTTGCTACGAAATCCATACTGGCCGTTTACATTTCTCTCTTTCGAAAGGAAACTGCCGTAACCATTCGGTTTCTCAAAGCACTAGAAACGCGAAAGCGGTCGTCTCGTATCTGTTGTAGTCGTTCCTCGTCTTAAACCAGGTCTTCGAGTGAGCAGACCAGTCTTCGTACCGCTGAAATACTCGTTGGACACTGGAGATACCAAAGTTTCACGCTGATCCCGGCCATCTTCTGTAGCTGCCACAATTCGTGCCGTAATAACAGGATTCATGGCCATTTCAAGACACATACAATGATAACGCCTCTACAATCAAACAATTTGCAATAGAGAAATAAAACCACGATAATGGATTTCAGGAATTTGGGTGGGAAGTCCTTTTTTATCAAACGCTTTTCGAAACAACAAAAACTTTTTGTATTAAAGCAATCACGACAAAACCATCCTATGAGGTTAGTAAACTAAGGAGCGAAAAAAAATCAAAAAAAAAATTTCTAAAATAAATGCAAATTACGAGGTGACCCTAATTTTACGTTCGGCAGTGTATTTAAAGAAGCCTCGTCTGTTTTATTCTTTTCAATCGCCCAATGTCTGGAAGTTCTCGGTGGAATAGAAATGTGTTACAAAACATCGTTGTACAGACTCTTACTTTTGGTATTGTTCTAAGAAAATAAACAGGAGAATTACGTTCTTGATGCGTGCTCTATTGTTCTGTCCCTAGCTCTGAAAATACTTTTCATATCAACCAGCGTCCTTATAGCCGATCCACGAAAAATTCCCAAATCTTGTAAAAATAATCTTTTCTTTGCTGTTCTGTTGTCTCTTTACATATTACGATTTACCATTGCATTTGCACCTAGATCCTATATTTTTTGATCTTGTAATGTCATAATTTAATTTTTCTTGTTTTTTTTAAACAAAATATTATTTTCCTTCCTGTCTTAATATCTTGTTTCTATTTTTCTTCCATTGTTTTTGATCTAAATGGCGTCTTTTCTTGCGTGTTCCTATAAGGATTTCAGTTGATGTGTTGTTTTCTATTTCTTCTAAGACTTTATTTTCTTTGCTTGAAATGGTTTAATTTTTGCTTGGTTTATATGATTTATTAGAAGGATTAGAGGTCGAGTACTTCCGAAATAGATTTTTCACTAGAGATTACCTCTAGGACAACATCTTGCTGATCTTCTGGGTACATAGAATTCAAGTTAGCAAATTTTTGTTCAGCTAGGTTTAATGACTCTTCATCAGTAATTAAATTGCAGTCAACTAATGATATGTAATTATTAGGTGCTGACATTTTAAATTGATCTACTAGATTGTTACTATCAGCAAATAATGTAGGAAAGTCCGCATCTTGAGCAGAAGTTGCACTAACTATTAACACATTGTCTCTGTTTGCATCATTTTCTATATTGACATGCTTTTAATCTCTATTCTAGCCACCCTAAACGCACGAGAATGTGGATTCATTCTGAAATAGATAGGGTTAGTTAGAAAAAATAATAAATAGTAAATCTGCGTCTACATTAGTAACACTATAAATACAAAAAAAAAATAGAATGGCCGGGAGATAGATAGATAAATAGAAACGGAAAATGGCCTAACTCTATCACGATACTTTAAACTCAGATTTATCTATTAAAAGAAAATCTAAACTGTACACTCTTATTTTTTGGTTATTTAGCTGTTGGAAATACTATTTATCTAAAGAAAATATCAGAACTTACCTTAAATATTGGTTTTTGCACTTTAAATTGAATCGGTGAGTGAAAGAACAATATATATCCAAAATGACCATTTTGAGAAAAACAATAAAAAACTGTTTTAAAGGAAAACTATGGGTTAATTGGCCTAATTAAGTATTGTGAAGTTATAGAATTTATGTTAACAGATGTAACTTGACAAACCAGGCCCTAACCTAGTTTTCCAAATACCCTTAACCTTGGCCTAAATTTCGTCTAGTGGATCCCCACGAAGTGATGTTAAAATCCCCAGAATTACGTTTAGAGTTCAATGTAGCTGTAATGGAGGAAGAACAAAGTAAACGCAGAGATTAATTTGGAATACTGTTTATTTAACATCTATTCTTTTGTACAGCCGAACATTTAGATTATGTGCCGTTTTTAGGCTTAACATTATGTTTATGTAGGCTTTCCAATGTGTCATTTCTAACCTCAGAGCTTTTAGTTCCCATGAAAGGCTAAAATAAAAGTCGGAAGTACTTTGGTATATTTGTTTCCTAATGTACAATCACACGTTTCCACGGAAATACTGAATTACGCATTGTCTAATAAAAGAGTACAGCGGTAGCACGGGGAGTTCGGTGAGAGATAAAATAATGTTTGTAACATGTGTAAAAACCGGAGTTTAGATTTACCTCACCGTGCGTCATGCCTTTCCCTAATATTCCAATGCCGTAATGTACTGACATACTCAGTCCTGTATGGAAAACACTGAACGGTCGATCGGAGAAGACCTGATATAAAGGGGGATGCCCGTCAGGCCCACTTTTGGGGTATCTCAGTAGATATCCATCCAAGCCTCTATCAGGCTTTAATTTACATAGCCGCAAGGAAAAAAACATTTTTAGGCCCTTACTATTGAGGTCTATGGTGGCCTAAGGCTCTTTTTCGGTGCGATGCTCTTTTGCTCTGTCGATTGACAAATCTTTGTTATTAATCACAGTTCTGAGGCTACATTAGCTAGTCCACAAACACAATTTCACCTATTTATTCTAAATAAATAACAAACATACTGACTACTTCCGCGTAATATCCCGCTAAAGATATGTACAAATAAATCCGACCTCCCTCAATATTCATGATTCTACCCGCCGCTATACATATCTCCTTTTTCCCGAAAAATCGATATACAAAACTAACACTCCTTACGGCTAAAATGACACATTTGTCTACCCAATTTGTTTTACAAAGAACGACAGAAAACATATTTTTTTTAGGTCCAATCTAACTTTAAAATATATACAAATCAAGGCATTTACCCTACTAATCTACATCTGTTTGCCATTTAAAAGTAAAACCGAAAGTGCGTTTCCTCTTTCCTGAAAGGGGCAGGTACTGTTTACAAACAACCAAACTTTACAATTCGGCCCTTTGGCCATAAATCTAAATGACTTAATTTATTACTTGAGAGTGTTGACCGACTTTACAATAATTCATATTTATGACATCACTATCGATTCTCTAAATAGTATAATTTAGCACAATATAAAAACCCTACAATATGAATACCAAAAATATGACAATAACACACAGATGCGAATTTTCCCGCTAATGAATATAAAAGTAATAAAGTGATACCTGTAACCCATCAAAGTTAGTCTAAACCCTCCCCCGGAATATCTGAATATTAAATACTAGTTTGATTACTTTAATAGTACGATTATCGTTTTAATTCTACGTAAAAAAAAACCTTACAGAAAAAAGTATACCGCTGATAAAAGCGTCTACCTGGCGCAAGTTCGTCGGGTCAGCCTTAAGGGTGACGAAATCTACTACGAACGTCGCCTAGAGTAGTACTTTGAATCATTTAGTAACATTTTATAATGTTGAATCGGAGATATAAAATATCTGGCGTTTAACTAGACTAGCGTGGTATTACCAGTATCAGTTTCACCAATATTTTAGTCGCTCGGTAGATACAACCTTACAAAACAGTTCTAGGAGCGAAATCTGGTTCTATTCAACGTGTATCTGCTTGGTCAACCTGACTATATATCTCCTTTTACTTATATATAAAATATAAGAAAAAAGTGGTAATTCTAAGAATAACGATATCTAAGCAGAAGCCGTCGTTTATAGAAACTAATTTCTCTACTAATAATCCCCCAGCCCACAAAAACCCTGGTATTTATACTTACATTTTCCATATATGCAAATGTATTAAAAAGAGAACGACTGTGAATTCGGTGCATAAAGACTATAAAGCCCTGTATTAATTCCTTAATATAGCCCTATCGGTTTACATCTGGTCCTTTAGCTAGCGGCCGTTACAGTCTACACGTCGACTTCTTTTCCCAGAAGCAGTGCCGGATCTATATTTTTTATGAGTGTAGGCCACTTTATTTCCACCGCCCCATGTACCTTTCTAATATAATTATTTTCCATCTTAACCAAAAACTTTTCGTCTTCTAAAAAAAAAGGACCTCAGCCGAAACAAAAATACTCTACGCTAAAACTTTTCCTCTATTAGTCCCGGCTACCCCCTCTAGTCGGGCCTACAAATGCACACATTCTTGGGCCAAATACGCTGGGATGTCGTAATATATAAGAATTATTTAAATTAATTATCAACCCCCGGTTGTCGGATTTCAACATACATAAATTTCAAAAGAAAATTATGCAAAAAATGATATTTGAAAAAAATTACTTGCAGTTATACTGTTCTTTAATTTTTTTTATAGCTTTACTGATTATTATTATTATTAAACAAATTTATTTGTAATTTTTATTTAGAATCTTTATTTTTGACTTTCCAAGAAATAATAAGGCAGTAAAACTCTAGGGTTTCATCGCTAAAGTAAGGTAAAAGTTTCTTTAAATCGGCTATCTTCTTTACTTTAATAGGAACAACTTCTGGGTAAGCCTTTTATAAGGGTAATTGCGGATAGACATTAGGTTTGATCGGGCTAAAAGTGTATGAGAGAAAACCTCCTATGAAGGCACTTGTAGTAATTTTACTAGTTAATGTAAACTGGCTGTACTGCGAAATGACAAAATTAGCTTTTTATCCATCAGCTGATTTGGACGTTTTTTTATAAAATTGCGGCCATCAGTTTTTGAAATCTATCAAATTTGTCTACAAAACGACATGGCGACTGAGTGAAAAAACAGTACATGCGCTGCACGTGTACTGTTCTTTCACTCATCCTACTCAGCCGAAAATTCAACAAGTCCCCGTTGTTCGTACGATGTTGGTCGGTGTATTATTCTTTCGCTATGTGATAGGCCTATGAATTATAAACAATTTGCCTATCTCAGTTAAAATACAATTTTTGGCACTTGTATTGTTCTTTCACTCACCGATTCAATTAAGGAGACAAATGTTTCACGCATTACTGTCATAACACTACTGAGAGTTGTACCAATCGAGTATTGTTTAGAATAAGCGGGAGATGTGGTGGAAATTTTGATATAAAACATCATTTTGAGCTAAAAGTGGAGTTGGGCAATTTGCATCTCAAGCCGACGATATGCCGGACTATTTATTAATCGTCACGTTGGGCAACAAAAGTCATTCCAGAACAGCAAATAGATGATCAAAGTTAGACACTATTTCCTAACGCATTCTAAAATTTAATTTCTTTATAGGATCCTTTTATTTTCAAATGTATTTTTTCTTATTGAATACTTTTATGTTGTAAGATCTTTACTGATTGGGTAAACATTGAAAGGAAATTAAGATTTTTTTTATTTCTGTTTGTGCATCCTAGTTGTATAGTTGATTGCATTTATTTTGAGGGTACTTTCAATATGTAAAAAGTCATATTTTTATAATTAGATTGTAAGGTTTTTAAAGTACCTGGAAGTGTTTATTTAATTTTTAATGACTTAATTTCTTTTCATCCTCCTCTTGATGTAAGACAATGTCATTTTTCTGAACAATCTTACCATGATCTGAATATGACTGATTTCATTTCACTATTTACATACATGTGTAAAAATATAGTTTTTTTATATTAGTATATGAATGGTTCAGTTAAGTTTATAGTATTATTATGCAATACAAATAATTTTCCTATTAATGCTGTTTTTTTATATATTAAAAACTATTTTTGCTATTTGTTTTATTTTTTTTTAAAGGTCCTATATAAAAAGAAATCTACGGCGAATGGAGGTTTACAACAAAAAGAAATTTTAAGCCCACCGGTATACAAAAAAACGACTATTAATTCTTATAAAATTTATTTCCACTTCATAATCGTAAAATTCTCTTTTTAGATTTTTATATAAATAAGACATGTTTGAATAGACAGACACAAATTAGATTAAAGTAAATTAAAACAAATCACATTTTTATGAAGTTAAAAAATAGTATAACAGATCACTTGGCGAGTTCGCTTAAATACTAAAAGAAAAAGACATTAACAATTTTTGTTGTACATCTAGTAATTTAGCAGGGGCAAGATATTGACTAGATTGAATAGTAGTACTAGAGATAACAGAGATATAACCATTCATTGATAAAATATAATATTCACGATGCCAAGATTAAGTCGACAATCAGTACGCTCTATTTGTAGGTCTGCAGTGAGAAGTAAGAGAGGAGATAAAGAGAAGGATTTTACGCAAATACAATTTTAATTTATCAATGAATAAATGTGTAAGCGATGTGCGCTTATAATAAACAACGTAAGCCCTGTTGCCACTTCCAACTTACGATTTCTAGGTTTTGGAATTTATTGAAAATTATTATATTTAATTTAGTGAAATTACATCTAATTTAGTTAAATTTGATATAACTAATGATTCAAAAATTGTTGGGTTCAGTTGCAATAAAATAGGTTGAATTATTTTAGCTTTTTTAATATATGTAAACAAAACGAGAATAATGAAATAGGAATATGACAACAGCGGGTATTATACCCTCCTATTCAGGACTGCACAATATTTGTTAGTAGTTACATCTCCTGTTATCTCTGAATAATACATTATTTAAAATCTAGTTAAAAATGAAACTAAAACATAGAAAGCAATCAGATCTAAAAAATAGTTTCCAATAAATGTTATTAACAATAAATGCATGTCCTAAGGATGATTTTCCAAACCCTACATCTACATACATCCAATTCAAAATATGAGGTGAGTATTCAATGAGAAAAAGTCCAAAACCACTTCCAACTACAAATCTATCACGTTTTTAACAATATTCAAATTGTGATGCATATCTTAAATTTGTTAATGTCAATTTTAAAGTCTTACACCCTTGATGCAGATGTTTAAACATTACTATTTCAAACGACCTAAAGAAACTACTTAAAACGGATTACAAGGTGAATTGCTATCTTTATTAGTCAATTCCAATAAATTATCTCTTATTTCTTTGCTTATTTCCTCTGCTTTGGGTACTTCAGAGATTACCCAAGTGTCATCTGTGCTGTCCAATCTTTCCCTACATATTGGACATGTATCATGATTTTCATTCCTAAAATGATCAAACTCTACACATTTTGTTATTAAGTATTTTGAATAAAATTACCATTCTTCTATACACTGCAAGCAATAACTATGAGCACATGGTAAAAGCACTTCTTGTTTTCTTTCAAAACATATGCAACATATAGTTTGGCTCTCTGTACTTGATTCAGACACTCTATCTAATATTCCTGATATCGTCATATCATTTTCAGGGACACTAGTACTAAAATACAATAAACTTAATACATTACAAATATTAATGTGAATAATATAAACTAAGTATTTATTTAAATAATATACAAATGACAAACAGAAGTAAAATGGTCTAAGTCACAATTTTCAGATTATTGTAAACTATTTTCATTCATAATTTTTGCTGCTGAAGTTTGAGTTTTGGCTTAGTGAATGTATATTACTGTAAGAATAAATCGGCCTAACCCCCAGTCATGGTCATACTCCACAGTTGCAAAAAGTGAGTAGTGAGAAACAGGACAGAAACATATTTTTACCGCAAGACTAGATTACCGTTGTTAAAGATGCCAGAAAAAAAAAGCTTTTTAATGTGACTATGGCCAGAAAGAACTTATTTTCTATGAAAACTACTAATGTATTAATAGACATTTGACCAGAAAGAAATAAAAAGTTAAATGCATTTTAAGAAAGCACCCTTTTAAAAATATTTTAAATGTAACAATGATTTGGTGCTGTTCATAGTAGTGGATAAAACAAAACGAACATCTTTAGGCTTGGTTAAATCCTTGGACTTATATTACTCCACAGTACGTCCACTCCTGCCTTGGCTGATTACCACATATTTAAAACTTTGTAAGTAACCTTATTTTTACTCGTCTACTATACTTTTCCTCTGAAAAAATGTACAGAAACGTTGCGTTTTCTACTGCGCAACGCCTGAACATGCCGATATTATGTAATACCTATAACCACATACTTATTTTTCAGTGCAATTGAAAGATCATTTGATGATAAAAATGAAAGAAGGCTTGACCTACAGAATTGATCTGGCGATTGATGAGTCCACTGGCTGCAACATGTCAAAATAAAGAGGTTGTTTTCTAATTAACACATAATGTTCGCAGGATTGTTTAATAAATACACTCTCACCCAAACGGTCATAGTGACTGAATATGTAATTTTTACGTTGAATGGTAAGCTGGTTACCACAAAAATTACCCAAGATGGGTGTGTATTTAATGACCGAATATTGCAATGTCTGACAAAAAATATTTATTTATGGGTCAGAGCCCATTAAAACAATACAATTACAGAGAATACATATTACATTCATTAAATAGTAATAAAATCCTAAATAATAATAAAATAATTTAAATATATACATATTAAAAAACAATTAAATAAAAATCTAAAGTCTATTCAAATTTAATTTACGCCTGATGTAAACAGAAGCAGGTGGACGCTAAAATTGAGCAGGGCCGTATTTTACTTTTCCGTCTTGCAATAATGTAAAATAAAAGAGTGTAATTGTGAAATTATTATTTTATTACGATAAAAACATATTGTGTAAAGTAAAACTATAAAATAAATGCCATACACGGTCTCCCAGACTTTAGTGACATTTCTGGACGAAGATAGGTGAGCGACATAAACTGCGTTAACCTGCAATACAAATTAATAAATGTATTTGACTTTAAAAGAGATGGTTGCATTATATTTAGTTCATTACATATGGCTACTGTGATACAGAGCATTAAAACAATCATAAAATTATATTGTACAGGGTGTCCAAATAATTGCAAATTCTTTAATAGCTAATATATATCTACTAAAAGCATTAAAAAAAACTTTAAATATAAGAGGTATTTGATTTAAAATTGTGCATCTTAAAAAGAAACCTTTTGTATTTTTGATAACTTTTGTTCTTTATTGTTCTTGTTCTACTAGTATTTAGATTAGACAACTTGTACCCTGTATTATAGCAATCTTCCTTACTTGACTTAGCACTATTCTGAATCGGATAAATTAGTTAGACTTGAAATCCTATCTTCATTAATCAAAATTACAAGTGGTTCTACCTGAACCTCTATAATATTATCCAACTCCCACATTTTTACTTCAACTTTTTGGTGAACATGGTCGATACACTTTTTCCATTTTTATAGAGGAATTAATAATATTACTTCGTCAAAAAGAATTTTAATGTCTCCAGATTAAAATGTTGAGTTTTTATCTGCTACGTATTGTTTAACGTCAACCTAGATTAATTCAATAGGGTTAAGTTCACAATGATACGGAGACATGTGAAGTATTATGTTGTTTTGCTGCTTAGCCATTTTATCTATTACATACCTATCATAATGTTTATGTTGCTTACCAAGTTTTAAAAGTTGGATCTTAAGCATTTGGTAGTCGAATTCAATTTTTTTTCTCTTATAGCCATTTTTAAATATCACCTTTTTTAGACGTCGTAGATATTTTTTCCAGCTTTCTCGAATAATAATAATGCAGTTATCTTCTAATTTTGGTAGGGTGTTTGAAAACCACTCTTTGAACGATTCTCCACACATTTCTTCATGGTAGTCACCGGATTTTTCAACTCAAATACATAAAGTGCATTAGAGACAAAGCCTTCTTCACTTCCAATATGGCATATAATGAGCTGTTTTTACGCACCTACCTGATGGGTTTTTAAAACCAGTTAAAAGTTCATCCAATAAGGCTTGTCTGGATGAAAAAACCGACATATCGAAACATACTTTTGATTTGGTGTGGCCTGCGTTAATCCAAGTCTCATCAAGATAATATATTTTTTGCTTTTCTTCTCTGTACCGTTTTATTTTTTGTGGCGTAGGACGAAACAATTTCATTTTTGTCTAAAAGCAAACTATTTTTTACTCGAGTTTTAAATTTAAAATTAAGGGTTTTGAAAAGCTTGTAAAATGTAGCTCACTTAAAAGTAGACAACTTTGAATCATCGTTGACTTCTTAAAAAACCTTATCAATTGTTGGAAGTTAATTTCTAAAGAAGAATTGATGTACTTTGCGCCTTATTGCATTTTTATCAAAATCATCCACAGAGCCACTAATTTGTTTATAACGTAGCTCTCTTTTTGGTTCAGAAAATTTATGAATCTGCCAATACTCCTTCATAACATTAAAAACGGTTTTAGCGCACATCCCTGTTTTATCAGCAACTCTCCTTTCAACATCATGTACCAACATATCAGGGTTCTATAAAATTTAATGCTCATAAATATTAAGATCCATTTCTTTAGTACGGATGACCAAATGTCCCTTTTTCAGTCGCTTTTTAGAAGGAGTAAAAACATTTTTCTGGACTTCATCTGCTGTATCTGTGGAGGACATAGTGTCACGCAGCAATTACAAAATATAGTCAATTAAATATCCATAAAATATAGAGTAAAACATGTTCAAACTAAGAACAAACACAAAAACAAAAAAAATAAATAACACAATATATGTAATGTATATCTAAACTATAATATAATGAATTATAATCAATCAAACATACAAAATGTCCAAACTAACCAACACGGTGAATGCTACCAAAACGCCGTTTATAATTAACCAAATTGAACTGAATTCGACTCTGACAAAAAATATTTACGCGTCGTCTAAATGACTAACGACCGATTAACCAATAGAAGCGCAAAAAAATGTCACGTGAGCTGTTGCTGGATGGGAGAAATTGTTTTGACGCGGCGTAAATGAAATCTGAATAGACTTTAACATCTATTCCTCACATATACATAAGTGGTTAAAGAATTCTGATAGAGAAGTAATCCATTCTACATTTACTCTATTAGCAGAACTTGTCACTCTAGGAATAAAAGAATGAGAACCATAATTTGTCCTATGGAAAGATTGGGAGAATGTATTAATATTCCTAGTTACCCTAGAGGGTACAGAAACCAATTTGGGATAATAAGTAGGGAAAATCGGCAGATGAGTTATTAATGTTAAACAATATTTTAAGATCCCTTTGGTTTCTTCTGCTCAGAAAAGTCTCAAGATGACAAAGTGTGTAATTCGGCATAATTGTACTTGAAGTTGACAGGGACGTTACCCGATTTAAATGCAACAATGCGAAAAAAATTTCTTTGAACCTGTTCTATATTATGGATTAGATATACATAAAAAGGATTCCATACAGCAGAAGCATATTTAATATAAGATCTAACTAAGGCACAATACATCACATTATGAAAATCAGAAGAAGTTCTTCTAAGGAAACCCAACATTTTTAATGCTTTATTAACTGAGGCCGTTATAAGAGTTTGAAAAGAAAGGATGGAATCTAGTATCACACCTAAATCTTTTACCTCTGTAATAGTATGCAGTGTTATGTCATTGATTTTATAGATATTTTCAATAGGACTATGTTTTCTGTTGAAATTGATTGCATGACATTTACTTGGTATTACACCATTGGACCAAGTTATCCAAGTCTTTTTGAAGGCAAATACAATCATGTAAGGAATAATATTGAATGTCATTGTTATATATATTAAAAAGTAGAGGTCCCAAATGTGACCCTTGAGGGACACCCGATGTAGCGGTAAAGCCAGAAACACAAACAATTTAAATGGGATTCGTTATAAAGCAATAGATCCATTTCAGAAAATTACCACCAATGCCAATATTACTAAGCTTTCCAATAGGCCTTTTCATCACAATTTTTTTTGTGCGCGTGCGTCAGTATCAGCCATATTTTTCGTACTGTTCTTTGTAAACAAGCATGTTAAAATTTAAAATGTCTACGTGAAAAAAATTGAAATCGATAAATATTAATTTAAGCATATTCATTAAAAAAAAAAGAACAAAAGTAAAGTAATAAGTTTATAAGTTTCTAAATTGAAAAATAAATGTTTGCAATTAATTATGTTATCTATACGGAAAGGAAAAACGAAACGGTATTGTTATGCAGTATGTAAAAGTGACACATTGTATAAATCATTTAAAGGTAATACATTATTATTTTATAAATTTTCCGAAGACTTGTCTGCAATATCGTAAAAAAAACTATCAAATCATTAGGCAAAATACATATTAAAACATGATCAAAATGAGCAAAAATATGGGTGAAAAAATGTAGTCGAAGTGATTTGTCACCTTTGGGTTTTCGAACGATTGATGATGTTACTAAAGATACTTATATTTGTTCACTACATTTTCATGGAGAAAGTGGTATAACAGAAGAAAATCCTTATAATAAAAAATACTACT